CTGAAGAGGATTATAAAGTCGTCATTCACGCAAATCGGACCCCTCGAGGAGAGCATGAAAGGCGCTACAATGCACCTTTGATAAACGTAATAGCAGCCGTAATTAGTGGTGATCAATTTTCTTCACGAAACATTGTCTTGCGAACACGTGATGATACGTTGCAACGGGTAGCCGATACACACAAGTTTTATGACTCTCTGCAATACCCATTGATTTATTGCAAAGGACAAGAGGGTTATCATTTTCAAATTCCACTCATTAACCCGGTCACAAAGGAGCCTACTCCGAACAAAAAAGTATCATGTATGGTTTTTTATGCGTATCATATGATGTTGCGAGAAAATGATTTTAACCTCTTAGCCCGTTGTAGACAATTATTTCATCAATTTTTGGTAGACATGTATGTGAAGGTAGAAAGTGAACGTCTCCGTTATATATCTTTAAATCAAAAAACATTTACAAGATGCAGTTTCTAGCGACGCCAATGTAAACCCTAGAGATTTAGGTAAAATGGTAATTCTGCCCTCATCATTCGTTAACTGTCCCCGCTACCTACATGAGTACACACAAGACGCATTTGCCTATGTACGAACTTACGGAAGACCTGATCTTTTTATTACTTTTACTTGCAATCCCACATGGAAAGAAATAACCGAGGAGCTAATGCCGGGCTAAAAAACTACTGACAGACACGATTTAGTTGCTAGAGTATTTAGATTAAAAGTACAAAAATTAATGTATGTAATTAATAAAGGGAAAATTTTCGGAGAGGTGCAGTGCTTCATGTATTCAATTGAATGGCAAAAAAGAGGATTACCGCATGCCCACATTTTCATATGGCTTAAAGAGAAGTTGCGGCCCAGCCAAATAGATGACATAATAAGCGCCGAGGTTCCAGATCCAAATCCAGAAACCAATATTCCAGCAGTTTGTAAAGGTGTACTAGTCTATTTTGCTGGAATATCAACCCACACATTTTCTAGTTTCAGATATCTTGTTTGTTATCATCGGTGTTTGTAGTGGTATCATCGTGGTCATTTGAGTCGTTATTGCTTCAGTGCTGAAATCCATTAACATTTCAGGCATTGTCAGTACTGTTGTCATTGGTTTATTTGAGTTTGAATTACAAAAACATCATATAACGATACTAAGGAACCAACATCCAAATAACTTCCTGATAAATGCATGTTGAAATTTTGTTATCGATTAACGATTCTGATGCATCGGTAAATGAATAAATAGTTACCAGAACATCGTGAGTTAGAATATTTTTACCTTGGTCTGTGTTGCACAGACTTTCTGGAGACTTAAATGGACTTAGCGGTCTTATATTGCTTAATTGGAGAATTAAGTCTTCGTTGGCCTGTCTGTGTGGAACAATATTGATCTGAGAAGACTTTCTTTTCAGTTTCCTTATCTCATTCACTATAATAAAATCTTTTATGGTTTTTTTCTGCCAAAGTTGATTTGAAATATTTCAAAACTTTTCTTGTGGAAACTAGATCTGCGTTAATTATTTCTTCAGAAATATTTATTCTTTCTTTCAATTATCACCGATTAGTCTTTCCAGAATATTCTGGATTCATTTTGAGTAATCCACTACTGCATTGAGATCTATTTAATAAAGTCCGCATTTGTCTTATTGAATCTTCTTCCTAAAACGCATCGTGAATGATATATTTTCATGAAATGGCCGTAAACGTAAACTAAAGCAGCATTCTACTCGTATTTTTGGCCGCCTTATTCTGTCATACAATTTTAAGTTGGCCGAAAACTAGAGTCAGTTTTAGAGTCAATCCAGTTTTCAGCCACGACGGAAATAGGTATTTTTGTTTCATCACTAACTGTTCAAATTGCAGTACTTTGTGGCCGAAAACTGAAAATTAGTGTGTACGCACGCTACGATTCAATATAAGTAAACTCGGGTCAATATATAACCATAATAAATTTCAAATAACTCTAGGATATATATATATATATATATATATATATATATATATATATATATATATATATTTATATATATATATATATATATATCGTTTTCAATTTCAATTTTCCTAGTATCATGTGTGCTGAGCCAGGTCAGGATAGAAAGCCAGGATAATATACCGAGGTTCCTAGCTTGCTATCTTAGCTTTAAAAACTAGCTTCGTGTAACCCGGGCATTAGGATATTGCCCCTGCACACATTACAATTAAGGAGAGAATTAAGAGTCATCCCTACTCCTACACTCTAGATTGCCCCTGCAGCAGGCAAATGAGTAGTTAGCTGCCTTAATAAAAAGTGCTACCGCATTATGGCGAACATCGAAGGTTATTTGTCTTTGAATGGAATCATAGACATAAATGCTTTCCTCCCATAGACATAGCTATGTTTCCTATTTCCTAGTAACTCCCATAGACAATTTATATACACCCATAAAGAACTTTCCTAACCTTTTTCTTTCTTTCATTCTTTCTTCTTGCAAAAGCAGTGGTCGAGGTGAGACGTGTTCCTTCAAATTATTAAAACGTTGAAGTTTCATGTACTTTTTTGATTTATTGTTCATTTGTTAATATTTAAATTGTGAGACTTGGATCATTCATTTAACAAATTTGTGTGCTTTCCGGTAGGACCCTGCTCCAATAATCGGATATAACATCTGCAATTATCAAGAACATCCTGCAGTAATATACATCATCAGATATGTAAGTCTCCTTATTATCTTCATTTCAGTCTTCGTCTTACTCTATTAATTGACTAGCTGTCTAATTTATATATTTTTTTTATATGAATTACCAACTCGATGTATTAATCCTTCATTTTAATGGAAATGCTTAAAATTTTAAGCAATTTAATATGAAACGTTTCGAAATATCATGCCACGAATAAACCAACCTAAGTATGATTTAATTTCTGTATGTATATATGTATAATATGTAATCCAGATTTGGCCTATAACTGCAATGTCTTGTCCAAAATTAAAATTTTGTAGTGTGGTTCTAGATTATTTTAATGATTTATCGTTTTAAACGAAGTACTGACGTATTAAGCTTTATTATTGATTTTTATTTTATATTAAATTAAAAAGCCATTTGTATTTTTATAGTAAACAATCGAATTTACTTGATAAAACTATCGTTGCATTCGCCGCCATCTTGCTTTACATCTACTGATTAGCATGTCTATGCACCGCACCATTATCAACCCGTTTATAAAGACATCGAGGAATAAAAGTCAATCTTATTTAATACCTACACGTTACCGTATCTCTGCACCTCGCTCGATGACGTCACATTCATGGTATGGGTTTGCTAAATAAGCCTTTAGAAAATGAATTTTTTTTTACCCGTCTGCCAGATGCACATGTAGGTTAGAGAGAGAGAGAGAGATTGAAGGATTTTGTAATTGAATTTAAATTTATTTAAATAAATAATACAAGATTCGATCCTATGTAAAGATTTTGGTCTTAGTGATGAAATGTCGGGATTTAAAGAAGTGAATTGAACGCAATACAATCCGTAAAATAGTTTAATTCGATGGAAACTTAAAAACTGTATTAAATACTTAAAAATTGAATTCAATTAATAACATTTTTATTAAAATTATTTTCTTACATTATTAAGTGCTAAGTTATTTATTATTTAGCGACGTAAGTGACTGCGATAATGATGGTGATAGTAAAATGCAATTATCAATTATATTTAGTGATAATGATAATGACCATACTCACGCGAGAGGCATCGCATTCTAGCGAGGTGCCAGTGATATTGGGACTGTGTTATCCTTTCTGTTACTAGTTATCAAACTGAAATATTTCTAGTATGCTCACTGGTTACTTGATAATGTTTACATACTGAAGTAGGGTTACATATTGCTATCTATAATAGACATATGTTACATTGAACGGATATTCCGCTATAACATTTAACACTTATATGTTCATTTTATTGAATATGTTACATAGTCAACTCGTATCCACTCAAAACCACTTAAATGTATATATATATAGGTTAAATCACAATTATATATTGTGATATATATATATAATCACTATTATAATATATAATAGTGATTTTGACCAAATTTTATCAGGTAGTTACTATATTCGGTTATCACTGAGAATGTTGAATTGACCTACACAAATTAAAAAAGTCGATTCTGAAATTATACATTACTGTAATGTACACGTCCAAAGGCCACCTCAGGCGCGCACATTAACCTACTGTCACTGAGTTTTAAGACAAACAATTTTCGATTAAAACATTAGTCATAACTGTTTTTGACTAAGGGGCCACAGTCAAAACCATTAATTTGTGCCTGATTTTCGCAGACATAGTGGTTTTGACTGGTTATGAGTTTTGACTGTGACACATAAATGACTAATAACGGCCACTGCATGAAAAATCGGTTGGTTTGCAGCGAATTTCCATTCAGTGTGCCGTTGGCCTTAAAGTAATTTTTTGTTGGAAGGTATATAAAGACTTATTTGCTTTAATGAATGACTAACAGTAGTACATTAGCCAGTGTCCAGTAATAAGAAAATTATTCTATACGATGATTTGTTTAAAAACTTCTTAAATATTATGTTGATGTGGCACAAGTTTTGGAGAGAATATGAGAACTATAGCCAGACTATCTAAATAATTCCACTTAATTCTAAAATTTATGTACAGTGTTATTACTAATATTGTGTGCCACATTTTTTAGTGGTAGGAATATTATAAAGTTAATTTGACAAACATAATTTTTATATTTGACATTGTTTATCCGTAATTATTATGCTTAGCTGATTGAGATTGTTTGTTTTAATACTTTTAAAATCTGATGCTAATATAAATATATCCGACAGGTCTGGAAACTGGAATAATAGCCGCGGTGGAAGCGGTGGTTCCAAATTTGGTAATAAATTCGGTGGTGGTGGCGGAGGAAGATTTGGAGGAAATTCAGGTGGTTTTGGTGGAGGCAAGAAAGAATTTTCTGGTGGACAAAATATGCGTCGACCTAACTGGGATACAATGTCTTTACAACCATTCAATAAAAACTTCTATAATCCACCACCGGAAGTATTAAAAAGGTCGCCTTATGAAGTTGAAGAATACAGGAATAAACATGAGATCACTGTAAGTGGGCTGGAAGTACCAAACCCTATTCAGTGTTTCGAAGAAGGTAATTTTCCTGACTATGTAATGCAAAATATTCAAAACATGGGCTACAAAGAACCAACCCCTATACAAGCACAAGGTTGGCCTATAGCAATGTCTGGGAAAAATTTAGTTGGGATAGCTCAGACTGGTTCAGGAAAAACTTTGGCTTACATTTTACCAGCTATTGTGCATATAAATAACCAGCCACCTATTAGACGTGGGGATGGTCCTATTGCACTAGTGCTTGCACCGACTAGAGAACTAGCTCAACAGATTCAACAAGTTGCTAGTGATTTTGGTAATACAGCTTATGTTCGCAACACATGTGTATTTGGTGGCGCCCCTAAAAGAGAACAAGCTCGTGATTTGGAAAGAGGAGTTGAAATTGTGATAGCAACACCAGGCAGACTCATTGATTTCTTAGATAGAGGAACTACAAATTTACAACGGTGTACTTACCTAGTTTTAGATGAGGCTGACCGAATGTTGGACATGGGTTTTGAGCCCCAAATCCGTAAGATTATTGAACAAATTCGTCCTGATCGCCAAACGTTGATGTGGTCAGCAACATGGCCCAAAGAAGTAAAAAAATTAGCTGAAGATTATTTGGGTGACTATTTACAAATCAATATTGGGTCACTTCAACTTTCAGCCAATCATAATATTCTACAGATTATAGATATTTGCCAGGAACATGAGAAAGAAAACAAGTATGTAATTTTTTTTTTCATTTACTTTTTTTCTGAATATTGTGATGATTCCAACTATTGTATGATATAGCTTTGATTAAACTTAAGGAAGTCCTCTAAGAAGATCTGATCAATAAAATAAAATATGCTTTAAATTTAATGCTGAAAGTCAGCTATAAATTATACATTTTCTTTTTAGGTTGAACGAATTGCTACAAGAAATTGGACAAAATCAAGAGCCTGGTGCAAAAACAATAATATTTGTTGAAACTAAAAGAAAAGTGGAAAATATAACTAGGAATATTAGACGGTTTGGTTGGCCAGCTGTGTGCATGCATGGTGACAAAACACAACAAGAACGAGATGATGTTCTTTATCAGTTTAAACATGGGCGCGCCAGCATTCTTGTTGCAACTGATGTTGCAGCCAGAGGACTTGGTGAGAATTTAGCTACTAAATGTATTCTTTACATTCAATTTTTTGCTATAATTTAAAGATTGTGTTATTATAAAATATTTTATTAATTATTGCTTCTTTGTACTTTCAGAGGCACTGGCGGAAAGTTATTGTGTTCTATCTGAATACTGTCCAAAATTAATGGGCAAGATACTGCACTAGATTTGTAGATGACTTAGTCTGATGCAGTAATAGTTCTACTACAGAATGCAATAACTCGTCATTTATATGGTGCCTCAATAGTGCCTTTCACTATGATTGGACCCGAGGCCGGAAACTTGATGGTATGTCCGTGAATATGGATACACTTGAGAGTAAAGGAAAACCTGGTGATGCACTTCATATTTTGTTGATATTCCTTAAATACATAATCAGTTTTGAACTCAATGGTGCATCGTTGAAAAACTTGACCACAGGTTGAATTGAGCAAGAGGTCAAGGGTTTTCTCTTTCGGCCATAATGGAGTTTGGAAGGGGCAATTATTCAAGTAGTTAATGCAAATGTCATCTAAAGATTTTGTGTTGTGCCCTTAACAAGACTCCAGGGTTTTCTCAGTGAGAGGCAAATATTATCTTTAAATTGCTGTGTGTAACTCATTCACGTAAGTAATGCTGCTGTGAGTTACAATTAGTAAATTAATAAGTTGTTATATACATGACATACTTTAACAGAATTATTTAAAATATTTTTTTTATGATTACAGATGTGGATGGTATAAAGTATGTTATAAATTTTGATTATCCTAACTCTTCGGAGGACTACATTCACCGGATTGGTAGAACTGGCCGCTCAAAATCAAAAGGCACATCATATGCCTTCTTTACACCTTCGAACTCGCGTCAAGCTAAAGATCTTGTAAATGTGTTACAAGAAGCTAATCAGGTAATTAAAATAATATTGCAAGTTTTTGTTCATCCTTTAGAAGTTCCTCATACCTTTGGCATGGGTACGTTTCTTCATAGCGTGACATGAATGCAAGTATGAGGTAAATTAATACAACTTCATGCCTTCGGTGTCCATTTTTTTTTTATCTGGATCCCATCCTCAAAAGTTGTTACATATTTTAGATCTTTCCATACATTATGTTGTAGCAAATTTATTTTTGTAAATCCAAAAAGTAATATACATTTGTATTTTTAGACTGTGAATCCACAGCTACAAACAATGGCGGACCGTTGTGGTGGAGGTGGAGGATGGAATAGGAACAGATATGCTGGTGGACGTGGAGGTGGTTCCTTCAAACGAGGAAGTAATTTCGGCAGAGGCAATGGGCAAGCTGGTGGAGGAGGACACAAGAGATTTAATGATTATTGACTTTATTAATTTTAAGTAGCAAATCCTCATAGGAATAAAACCATTTGTGTGTGTATGAACAAGTGTATAAATGTATACATGTCTGACATTTTAAAGATACTCCATGCTTTTCAAAACCAATTACCTATTATTTCCTTAAGTGTACTATCATTAGTTCAAGTAAATGCTAAATGTGGGTGTGACATTTTTATTTATTGTAAGGCGGTATTTTTTTTTCTGTGATAACTTAGTGAGGATTAGCTAATGCATTACTCTAAGCATATCCACCTTGTGTTATTTATTGGAAAACTATGAAAGGTGCCCTGAAGATCTTAGGAATATATCCAAATATAACATCATTCCAATTTGTTCTTTGATCTGGTGAAAATTAGAATATTAAAAGTATTATTATAATTTTGTCTTTTTTTTATCGCACCACCACAACTACTATCATCATTATCATACAGCCATTCACAAGCCCCCCCCCCCCTAAACCTGAGCTTTCTCCCAAAGAACGCCATAAAGCACGGTCCTGAACCTCACTTTCATCCTCATTTTATCCCATAGTACAATAAAAATAGGGGGAACCCAACATGGATTTATTTGAAAGAGTTAATTGTTATCACAAAATTTAATCAAATGTAAAATTTTGTATTATACAACTATGTTAACCTTTTGAGCGCCACGCCAAAAACTCACTACTAGAGGTGGGCGTTGAATCAATAAACTGTTTCTTTTAACAGCTTTTCATTCGTCAATGTGTTAACTGTTAATCATTAATGAAAAAATAGGTTGATAGTATTAGCCGTCAATTTACGTCAACGCCCTCAACGCATTTGGAAATATTAGTAGTTACGCCGGAGTAGACATGGCGTTAATGGTTAAATTTATTTATTTGTTAAAAGTTAACTGTTAATTTTTTAAGAGATTAAATTAACAGTTAAATATATTACTTACTGTTGTAGTAAATTTATACTTTTAACCGGTTGTGTTAATTTTATTGCTTCTTCACTTTAATAGCTACAGGACTCTTTAGTATTAAAATATTATTAAGCTAGGCTTTTTAAAGGTTTATTAATTCAATATTTACATTATATTATGTTATGATTTACAATAAATTGTTTATTACTTACAGTGATTATTATGTATTTAGTATTTACATTTAATATAAATGTTTTATATTTTTTTCCTTTAATATTTTTTTTATTTTATTCCTTTATTATGTAGACATGTACGTAATAATTCTATGTAGACATGTTTATTAGTTATATTTTATTAATGTTCAGAAATATTATTTGTGCTACTTTAGCTGTGATTAGCTTGTCATTCCATCATTTATTATGTACTTAGCTTTCGATAAAACACGTTCACAGGAAACTAAAGTGACCGTAATATGATATCAATTTTTAAAAATTTGATACAAAACTGGGTATATACTATATTTATGCGTCCGCCATCACGTCAATAGTCAAAACTTTCGTGAATTTAGAGTATTTAATAAACACAGACTTTATAAAAAAATCCAACTTCTTTAAGCATAACTGTGTAAGTATAAGTGTATAAGTGGCTGCCATGAAAGTAAAAAGTACTTTGCATAACTTAGATAAGCGGCTGCAGTTATGACGTCACTGAAGTCAAGTGGTCTCCACTATACCAATCTAAATGAGAGACCTTATAATATTATTAGCTTACAAAAACAGATGTTTCATGTAATTATTGGTATATTTTTCAGGCATTATGTGCACTGTCGTTCCTTGCTAGTGGTAGTTACCAAAGAATATGCGGCAAAAATATCAACACTTATGTGTCGCAGCCTTCAGTGTCCCGCTGTGTTCATGAGGTTGAGCTTGTAGAAGCCCGTCCTTCCCCGGTCGAGCCGGCCCCCATTCGTGCATATTTTTAAAGGTTCTGCTGAACATAGGCCCGCAACACACTCCCATGTTTTTTTTTTTAAATGGGAATGACAAGATACTCCCTCTAAAATGGAAGAGGCTCTTAATGTGTTCCTTAATATTATCCTCGTGAACCTATATACTCGTGGCCAACGAAATATCCAAAAATGGTGCTGCAACACTAGCCCAAACTTCTAATCAAAGTGAGTCGACAAGAACTAGGAACAAATGCAGTCCGCGGGATATTTTTGATCATATAATAGGGGCACCTTCTATCACAGGCACTCCATTTTCAAAAGCCATAAAAGAAGTGGACACCTATTTGGCTGATGACTTATTACCAAGGACAAATACTTCTGGTGACTGGAACAATTCTTTGGAATGGTGGAGAACTCACAATTTTATTTATCCAAACTTGGCCAAAATTTACATAGAAAAATGTAACATAGTCGCAACATCAGTGTCGTGCGAAAGAATGTTCTCCAAATCGGGGCTGATTGTCAATCAAAGGAGAACTAGACTAACAACTAGGAAAATATAGATACTGCTATTTTTAAATGTTAACTTAGATGAAGACCGTTTTGCAGGCTATGAAATTTAATATGTAGGTAATTGTAAATAGAACAAAGGAAAAAAAAAACAAAAAATATTATGATTAATGTAAATACAATCAGATCAGATGATCTTTTAAGTACGCCTGGGTACTATTTTTACACAGCTAGTCCTAAGCCTGGAAAAAGTAAGAAGGAAAGGTCATTCCAGTTGAATAAAAATAAAAGTAATCTAAATTCTTATTAAATCAATAATCATCAACTTAAACTTAATTTGTCACAAAATTGTTAATTGTTATTGATCGAAAGCGTTGAAATATTAATTGAATAGAACTGCTAACAAATGAAGTTTTACAACCTGTTAATTATTTAACAGCTTTTTAAACCTGTTGACCATTAATGATTAACAGTTAAATTACATTAACTATAAATCCGTCAATGACCCATACCTACTCACTACCGTTTCCTGTACGCCAAAGCGAAAAGTAAACCAAAATACCTACGAAAAAAAACAGTGCTGCCAAGAGTTGATATATCGATAACACAAAATAACTGGTTTTTGTTGGTTTTTTATACAATAAATGACTAATCGGGTATGTTTTATTTAACCTTTTGAGCGCCAAAGTCGTCTATACGTGACCAGCACCCGCGGGCCCTGAGCGCCAACGACGTCTATAGTTGACAAAAAACACGGCCCACAAAAATATGAAATATAGACATTGGAAAATTATTACTGGTATTTTAATTCTACACCCCTCAAAAAAGAATAACCCAGCAACATGTGAGTATAAAAACAAGTCTAGAGCCACAAGTACTAAGAAACATTGAACTAAAAAAAATGGATTTTTATCTAAGCAAATACTATGTCCAGCACGCCAAAGTCTATGTTTGACCGCTAGTGTTGTAATGCGTTAGGCATAAATTTATTGAAAACTATTCAAAATTAACGCATTCAGTGCCACCGACTCGCCCGGAGAGTTCACGTAAATCTTATTCCAGTGCCGACGACTCGTCTGGCGAGTTCAGTGTTTTTCACTAATATTTCCAAAATGCATCCGTATTTTCTGCTTAAAATTATAGTTTAGACTAAATATATGCTAAACTAAAGATTTACGTGGTGGGCCGTGTGTGGAGACCCCGTTTAAATTTGAAAGGAAACAAACTATTCTGCAGTGCCTTGAACTCGCTAGGCGAGTTCCCTGACATAGATCCTCAACCTTTGACATGTTAGACAACAACGTGAACATAATAGCATGGACTACCTACATACTTGTGATATGGAACTAATATACAACAAACTAGTTTCATTAGAATAATTAGGGTCGTGCCAAATGGAAGTCCGTAGTCTCTGCCTACCTCTCTGGGTGACAGGCGTGAGTGTTTATGTGTTACTTATCGAAAGTCACTCTTGTTTGATTACGTATTAATATACCACCAGTTTGGAATAAAGCCTCTGTCCTAGGAAGAACAGAAGCTATCAAGACATTATTTTTTTTAAAAACAAGCTTTAGTCAAGTTATCGTAATATTTGAGATAACATATCTAGCAGCCATATTATCAATCTTGTATCTTTGTAATAGGGTTGAAAATTAAAAAAAAGGGTCGGTATTGATAAAACAGCCGACAAAAAACACCGGCGCGCCGTTGTATTTGAAGAACAAAAGCACTGATAACATTGTTTTTTACAAAGCTCTCATTGGCTAATGTTAAATCGCACTCCAAGAATGCACTTGCAACTAAATATTTCGTCCATTGTATTCCTATTTGTGACGTCGTTGCCTACTCTAGTAAACTTCTGTAAACTTTGTTTTCAGTATCAGTGCTCTGTACGACCCTTTCGTCATCGCATTCGTTTACTTTTCTCTACCTTTGTGACCTGGCTTACGTTTACTGGGCACCCGTGTTTTGATTACCTTGGCTTGCGATTACTGAACTTGTTTGAGTGCTGTTTCGACTATACCTTTACTTACGATTACCGGACCTATTTTATCTATAAAGTCTAGTTGCTCTCTCTACTAGCTCTGCTACTAGAGTGGTGAATGAAATAATGTAATGTGAATTGTTATAATTTTGTTTTCTGATAAACCTCTTGACTGCTCTCTACTGCAACTCAATTTGTTGTATATGAGTCCCATCTCCAGCCACAAATGGATTGTTTGGGTCTGAGTGATTAACTTTTTTATGAGTGTATCTGTGTTAAAAAAACAAACTGACATATTTGCGTTTCGTTATATGTAATTTAATTAATCAAAATCAAGTACCGGATGTCTAGCCAACTCGATATAACCTCACTTTAACTATCGATATCTCGAAAAATAAAGATTTCCGGCATAAAAAGCAGCTAAATGGTAATCAATAGCATCATTTCCTGTCAACTAAAGCTAAAATAGTCACTTAAATCGTGCAGCAGATTACTAAAGCCGACCCAAAATAATACATTTTAATCTGATACCATATTCTTAAAACTGAAAGCCCGTATTAAATTATTTCAGGGTAAAATTGTCTATTCACAAGTATTAGAAATTCAATATATAATCTTAACAATAACCATAATTTAAAAGGTTGACAACCACTGCTC